ACACAAGCCCGGCCCAAGGTCAGGCCAGACCGGCCAGAGGATGGCCCACCAGGCAGCTGCTAGGAGCAGTCCACCGGCCCACATACCCCCACAACCAGGACGGGCCGGAACTGCCATACGAAAACAGGCCAGTGCGCCCTGGAAGTCCACGGACGAACCAGCAAGAAGGCTTATGCTCGCAAGTAGGTCGTGTAACAAGCACAGACCACTGACGGTAATACAGTGTTCCCCAAAAGTGCCAATAGCACCACTGCACTCCACTGGTACTATCCCGCAAGTTCTACCAGATAGGCGGGACCCAAGAGCCAGAGCTCAAATCCTGCAAGCACAGCCAGGAGCCTCACCAGGTGAGTACAGAACCAACCCTACAACCCCCCCACCTCACAACATTAAAAAAGGAGGGTCCCCTGAACGACTCCAGCATGGGTTGGACATGCACATGAGGGGGACAGGAAGGGGTGATAAAGGGACAGTCACTGGTTTGCGAACGGTCTCAGTCGTACAAAATTATACCTAAATAAAGACAGGTATATGAACACCGCCGCATCCAGCGCCCGGCCAAAAGACGCCAGACCGCAGAAACTCACCTGGCGAATGGTGGCTCGAACTTGACACGACTCAACCGTGCCCAGAAGAACTTGGGAGCACCGCCAGGTGACGACGCCAGAGCCGGACCCGCAGGAGAACAGGGAGAGGCGAAGGAGGCGGTCCACACCCATGACACAGAAAACCGCGGTGTCCTCCCCACAACTGGGAACCAGGACACCCCTGGCGCAAAGGGGCACATACCGCAGCCAGGGAGAAGAACGAGAGGCGAAGCACTGTAGCAAAAAAGGGCGCAAAACCCCAGCACTGAACCATCGCCCAGACCAAAACAAACTCCACGGCGCATGCGCATAACACGCTGGCCGAACCGCACACCCTCCCTGCGGGAAGGCGCCAGCCAGGACTATTGCACGAGAAAAAGAGCCAAAAGAGGAAGCAGGAACAAGAAAACCGGCCAAAGAAGCAAAGAGCCCAAAAAAAGGGAACCCAAACGGGCGACAAGTAGCCCAAACGGGCGACAAGTAGCCCAAACGGCCGACAAGTAGCCCAACCGGGCGACAAGTAGCCCAACAGGGCGACAAGTAGCCCAACAGGGCGACAAGTAGCCCAACAGGGCGACAAGTAGCCCAACAGGGCGACAAGTAGCCCAACAGGGCGACAAGTAGCCCAACAGGGCGACAAGTAGCCCAACAGGGCGACAAGTAGCCCAACAGGGCGACAAGTAGCCCAACAGGGCGACAAGTACTAGGAGCCGACAGACGTTCCAATAACGCGGGAAGTAGCGAAAAACCTTCCCGTACCCTCGAGAACACAGAAGCCAACACTAGTCCCGAAGGCACACGAAGGCGCAGGCGCACCCGAGACCAAAAGTCACGCAGAACCCCATCGAACGGGGAAACATGACAAAAACACCGTCCCAAAAAGCGGGGGAGGAAACATCCACCCACCGGACGGAACCAACCGACTCAAAGGCCAAGGAACCGAGCCCGGGGAGGGGCCGACGTCCAACAGCACGTACGGCGAGTGGGGAGGAAAGACCCCACTCCGCGTAACCACAAGCCCCGCCTAGAGGGGGATAAAACCCCCCACGGGGTCTAACGGGGCCAAGGCCCCCCAAGTCAGCCCCTCCCCAGCCCCGGGAACCTACACGACAGGCCCCGGGGCCGAGCCGTTCCCCCAAAGCCCCGGCCGTACCAGAAAACCGGGGCAGCCGTGAAAACACTAAGGAAGGGAGCCCACTGGCAGACTCATACAACACGGCTGGAGGAACAGGCCCAAATGCCCCCGTCACTACCCCGGAAGGGGAATTCCCCGAGACTGCCCGAGTCTCAACACCACCAAACACCCCGCCCTGAACCTACAGACGGTAAGGAACCGGATGCAGGCAGGAAGGGTGAACCAGGGGAAAAACGAAATACAACGGGGCAGCCCCGGGGCTCCCGGGGAGGAAACCACGAGAACGTTGCCACCACCAAGGCTCAAGTGCAACGCCCCTGCTGCCCGCACCCGCTTTGTTAGCACAACTGGGTAACCGAGCCACAACGAGCAACCAAACTCGCAGGACACTGGGTCGAAGGTGTCACCGACCCCACAGGCAGCAGACGGAGGCAAAACAGAGAGTCACCCAGAGACAAAAGGTGAGAGCAACCCTCAAACTCGCTGGAAGCGAGGGGGGGGCTCTGGGGTCACATCCATCGGACCCGCGCGCCCCCAGGGGTTTCCCAGGGTCCCGAGCGTTTACTTTAAGAGGACTCGCGCTCAGGTAATCCCAGGCAGGGTACTGCTAACCGGCACCCAAGCTACCAAACAACTTTCTAAGAGCTGAACCCCCGGGACGTGTACACTCACGGGGACCTAGCAGGGGGTACCACCAGAAATACTCAGAACACAAGGGACACAAGGGGCAAGAACGAAGGCAGACCCCCCCACCAGGTATATAAACAAAAGAAAAAGAAAACCCCGCAAGAGGACAGCGTACCCAAGCGGAACAGAGCCGGCCGCTATGATTGGTAAAGACAAGCTGCACAGTACCCCGCGCCCCACCAGTGCAAACACTGCCCCTTACTCTAAGGCGAACAAGGGAGACAGAACACCCGAGCACACAAAGAGCGGCCGAAAACCAAGCGGTAAACGGCCAAGCAGGGGCAGGACCCAAGGAACTTGTGGAAGGTGGCCCCAAGCCCCAAGGGCAGTACTTACAGGGCACCTAGGGAAGGGAACCCTAGGCGCATGCAGCCCGAGTACTGAAGAATCACACCCGGCTCACGCACCACCTAGAAAACAGACACCACACTCTAGGTACAGTGCTGAAACAACCACTGGAGCCGGAGCACATAACCATTGCCTATAGCATCAGCCGAAGAACTGATGGGTGGATAGCCGGCGTGGGAGGTCTGGGGCTCCCCCTTCCCCCTCCCGGGGAGGGGGGAGCTGCGCAGACAGCGGCGCGGTGACGTATGACGTCATACTAGTTTCCGTGTTTTCTGTTGAAGAGTTCTATTCACTAGTTCGGCTTAGGTAGCAATTTTCACCAGAATAGGGGTTTGTTTTGGAATGCTTACCTTTCTGGATGCTTGACCCGGTCGATGGCAGACATAGAATGCTTCCAACCACACGGGGGTTTCTATAGGCCATTGCTCCCCTTGCCTCTCTGAGGGGGCCAGGTTCTGGCTCGTGGTCCCCGGTAGGCCCTAGAACTCCATACACATGACTGATGCCAAAGTCTGACATTAGCATATCAGCCGGTAAAGCTCCGGGGAGCCGACGGGGCTCCCCCCAGAAAATATCAAAGTTTTCTTTTGCTGAGTGATAGACAGAACAAATTAAGTGAAAAGGTGATGGAGGCCAAAACCATCAGTAGTTTCAAAGCATTATTTAACAAAGAGTATGGGGAAGACGATCACCACGAGCATAGCTCTCATCCTGCACTTAGGTAATTACACACTACACTTAATTTATACACTTAATATAATTACACACATAAAAACTGTCTTTAGAAACCCTGTGTAAGGAATAATTCAGAACCTTGTATACCACTTATGTCTGACAAATCCTGGAGTATGCAGCTCCAGCTTGGAGTCCATACATAGTTAAACACAAGACAGAGTTAAAGAAGATTCAGAGGTATATCACCAGACTAGTCCCGAGAACTGAGAGGTATGAGCTACGAGGAAAGACTATGGAAGCTAAACCTCACGTCCCTAGAAGACAGAAGAGTAAGGGGAGATATGATCACCACCTACAAAATTCTCAGAGGAATTCAGAGGATGGACAAAGACAAATTATTTAGCATTGATGGAACATAAACAAGGGGACACAGGTGGAAACTTAGTACCCAAATGAGCCACAGAAACATTAGAAAGAATATTGTCAGTGTCAGAGTAGTTAACAAATGGAATGCATAAGGCAGTAATGTGGTGGACAAAGACTCCATACACAGTTTCAAGTGTAGATTTGATAAGAGCCCAGTAGGCTCTAGAATCTGTATACCAGATGATTGATAGTTGAAATGCAGGACCAAAGAGCCACAGCTCAACCCCCGCAAGCACAACTACGTGAGAACACATACATTGCTGGTCCAAGTGTTGAGTGTGAGGGCAAGGTCCACACAGGTGCTGCTGGTCCAAGTGTTGAGTGTGAAGACAAGGTCCACACACAAGTGCTGCTGGTCCAAGTGTTGAGTGTGAAGACAAGGTCCACACACAGGTGCTGCTGGTCCAAGTGTTGAGTGTGAAGACAAGGTCCACACAGGTGCTGCTGGTCCAAGTGTAGAGTGTGAAGACAAGGTCCACACACAAGTGCTGCTGGTCCAAGTGTTGAGTGTGAGGGCAAGGTCCACACACAAGTGCTGCTGGTCCAAGTGTTGAGTGTGAAGACAAGGTCCACACACAGGTGCTGCTGGTCCAAGTGTAGAGTGTGAAGGCAAGGGCCACACAGGTGCTGCTGGTCCAAGTGTAGAGTGTGAAGGCAAGGTCCACACAGGTGCTGCTGGTCCAAGTGTAGAGTGTGAAGACAAGGTCCACACAGGTGCTGCTGGTCCAAGTGTTGAGTGTGAAGGCAAGGTCCACACAGGTGCTGCTGGTCCAAGTGTTGAGTGTGAAGACAAGGTCCACACAGGTGCTGCTGGTCCAAGTGTTGAGTGTGAAGGCAAGGTCCACACAGGTGCTGCTGGTCCAAGTGTAGAGTGTGAAGACAAGGTCCACACAGGTGCTGCTGGTCCAAGTGTAGAGTGTGAAGACAAGGTCCACACACAGGTGCTGCTGGTCCAAGTGTAGAGTGTGAAGGCAAGGGCCACACAGGTGCTGCTGGTTCAAGTGTAGAGTGTGAAGACAAGGTCCACACAGGTGCTGCTGGTCCAAGTGTAGAGTGTGAAGACAAGGTCCACACACAGGTGCTGCTGGTCCAAGTGTAGAGTGTGAAGGCAAGGGCCACACAGGTGCTGCTGGTTCAAGTGTTGAGTGTGAAGACAAGGTCCACACAGGTGCTGCTGGTCCAAGTGTAGAGTGTGAAGGCAAGGTCCACACAGGTGCTGCTGGTCCAAGTGTTGAGTGTGAAGGCAAGGTCCACACAGGTGCTGCTGGTCCAAGTGTTGAGTGTGAAGGCAAGGTCCACACAGGTGCTGCTGGTCCAAGTGTTGAGTGTGAAGACAAGGTCCACACAGGTGCTGCTGGTCCAAGTGTTGAGTGTGAAGACAAGGTCCACACAGGTGCTGCTGGTCCAAGTGTAGAGTGTGAAGACAAGGTCCACACACAACTGTTATAATCATGCATGAAGGTAATGTCTGCTCACAATTCTCGTAATATACACTAATGACACACTGCTACGTCTCACACTCCTGCCGCACAACAGTCACACGCTACCTGCGGGAATATGCACAAAATTTATTTATTCAACTTATGGATTCATGCCAACAATAAATCAGATATACTACTATGCATATTAAGAGCCTAAGTTTTTAATGAACGTATTACAGTATCGTATAAAAACAGGTTTACACAATTTTTTCATACTTTACTGTATATAACTATTACAGATATGCATATTATGTCCTACCTAAGAGACAGAACTGTATTATGGTACTAAACTTAGACAAAGTGCACCTTACCTAATAGCCAGTGCATTTATTTTCTTATATCTCGGTAAAAAAACCAGCGTTGTATGTAACGAAATGCCATTTTTTGGGCGAGACTTTGAGGCTCCCCAAAGCTAATCCAGATTGATATGGATATGTTAGACTTTGACATCAGTCAGTGTGAATAGAGTTCTTAGGCCTACCGAGGACCACGAGCCAGAACCTGGCCCCCTCAGAGGCACGAGGAACAATGAATGGCCTATAGAAACCTCCATATGGATGGAAGCATTCTATGTCTGCCATGGGTATATAGCATACACCAACGATATTGGAACTGGTTTACTCACGTATGTTAAGAGTGGATTAATCTGTAAACTAATAAAAAATCACAGGAGTGATAGTATACATTACCAAAAATTCAAATTACAAACTGCAAATAGCCATTTCCTACTGTATAACATATATGGACGATGTAGTGTACTTAAAGCAGACCTGCTACCGAAACCTACAGGTAACACAGCTATGTTATGTATGGGTGACTTTAATGCTCGTCACACTGCTCTTGGTGATGTTCAGTGTAACAATAATGGAAGGGTCTTCTTGAAATACCTTACTGATCATAATATTACTGTGTATGATACTGATAAACAGACCCATTTATTGGGGGGGTAGACTGGATTATGTGATTGGATACAGCCTAGCAGATAGCAACGTCAACGTTAAGCTCAACCCAGAGCTAGTAAGTGATCATTTTGCAATATATTGTGAATACAATGTGGCGGATATTAGGTCCAATCCTCATCCTAGGGTTAAAATTAACATTCCAGACAATCTTAAACAGCACTTTAAGGCTTATGTACATAATTGGTACACTGGGTATACACCTGTATCAGTGGACCACTTTTACAATGATCTTGTCAGTATCATTACCAGTTATTATGATACCTGGGTTAAATCAAGAAAAAAGAACACTCGTTCTTCCTCATGGACAGAGGATCCTATTATTATTGCAGAGCGAGCTAAAGTGCTTCAGCTTGCTGACTCTTATAAACGAGACAAAACACCTGACAATTTACTTGCATTCCTTAATGCCAACAGAGATTTTCGCGAGCTTAGGGTCAAGTTAAGAACACATATTGGGAACAATTCCTACAAGGTATCAATAGAACCAGAACATTATCGGAAATGTGGAACAAAATTAAAAACATTACCAAACCTTCAGCCCCAGTTCAGCTTCATCATACTCCTGCAGAATATGCTGACATGCTCTTAGCTCAATGATCTAGTGCCTCACAAATTTCTTTCTTACCCCCAGATATACAGCAGCATTTAAATAATACCAACATTAACAGAAACTTTAATATTGAAATAGCACGTTCCTCACCAGATTTAACAGATCAGTTTGCTATAACCCCCCTTTGAATTGACATCAGCATTAGGGAAACCTAAACAAACTGCCCCTGGTGAGGATGGTATAACTTATAACACCTTGAGCTTACTGAATGATGTCCCTAGCCACCCTCTGCTTGACCTCTATCAAATGAGTCTCTCGCAAGGTATCTTGCCAAAGTAATGGACACAAGGTCTCATAGTACCAACTCCTAAGCCTAACTCTCAAAGATTCAGACCCATTTCCCTTACATCTTGTATGTGTAAAGTCTTGGAAAGAATTGTTCTCAATCGTGTCATGTTTCAGGTCAAAGAAAAACTGGCCCCAAACCTATATGGGTTCATGCCCAAGTGTAGCAGACAAACATGCTTTGCTGAATATTTTGTAAACTCCCAGGATGGGACACAGGCAGCCTTTATTGACCTAAAGTCAGCTTTCGATGTAGCGAATGGCGAAATAATATTAGAGCAACTTGCTGAATTTGGAATCAAAGGTAATCTTCTGAGTTGGATAAAGAGCTACCTATCCAACAGGCGTGCTAGTGTCCTATTTAAAGGAGTTAAAAGTACAAGAGCAGATGCATTCAAACTAGGAACACCTCAATGTGGTGTCCTAAGTCCTATGCTCTTCAATATACTTATGCACAAACTTATCCATGACATACCTGTACAACCTACGGAAACTGTTATATGTTATGCTGATGATATTTGTATTATGGCACACAGTAAACCAAGGCTACAAGTGTTACTTGATGAATTCTCCAAGAAAGTAGTAGAATGTGGCCTCATAATCTCTGTTGATAAAACAAGGGTTCTTATTCCCCATTCTCTTCATGTTAACTATACTATTATTGGAGTGCCCTTGGAGACGTGAGAGTCTTGTAAATATCTTGGAGTCGAGGTTAATGATACAAATCTCGTCAGCAACCTGCGCAAAAAACTAGTTGAGCGTCTTAAACCTCTCAAAACTCTTGTTGGCAAAGGATTTGGCATTAACATAAAATATGCTCGTAGTTTTTATATTGCCTTTATACGATCTGTTGTTGATTATTATGCCTTGCATCTTCTTAATTTTTCTCCTAAACAATTACAAGGCCTAGATGTAGTACAGAATGATGCCATGCGCATCATCCTGGGTTGTCCTAGAACTGTCAGAATTGTTAACATGAGAAAGGAACTAAACTTGCCTTCCATTTACGAAAGAATAGTTCTACTTAGTACCATGTTTTGCGCCAAAACTTTGAAAAATAATGGTCCCTCCAGCTCTATTCAAATTAAATTGAGATCCATTCTAAACAATTCTGACTGTTCCCTCAATCCACCGCAAAAAGCTCCCTACAGTGTGTGGCTTAGTAGTTGTGCCTATAATCTTCAGAAACTGAATGTGTGTCTCTTAAATCTGATAAAACTGTTCACTATATTCCCCCTTGGAAAGATGTGGAGGTCTCTCTGCATTATACCCCCATCAGTGTAAAACAAATGTATAATACTGACATATTGAGAAGTATAACATTAGAAGCTATTGACAGTCATCTTCAAATTCTCAAACCGACTGAATCCTACGCCTTTACTGATGGCTCTGTGCAGTTAGGCACTGGCAGAACAGGTTGTGCATGTGCAGTATATAAAGGGAATGAAATGATCATGACTAGTATACAGAGATTGAACAACTGGGCAAGCACGACACAGACCGAGCTATTGGGCATTTATCTAGCCACTGAATACCTTAAGCTCAATGGTGGTGGAGTTATTTTCTGTGACTCTAAAAGTGCTCTGCAGTCCTTAAATAACCCATCACAATGTATGTCGGAAGTAGCTTGTAATATTAAATGGAATGTAATTTTTGCCAATGATAATAACTCTTGTATAAAATTTGTGTGGATCCCATCCCATGTTGGAGTTGGAAAACATGACTTTGTAGATCGATTGGCCAATGAGGCTTGCAGGAAAGAAAACATTGATTATGACTTTGGACTATCTAATGCAGTTATTAGAAACATACAAATTAAAGAAATTAATTCAGATTTAGAAGAACTAAGAAATGCCCAGAGACCTGAAAGCTGCAGTATTAAAAGTTATGACAAGTTTTGTAATACAGTAATAGGTATTTGTATGGTCAGCACAGTAACCGAACCAGGCAATGTGATGTAGTCATTGCGCGAATTCGCCTTGGCTATAGACACATCGGGCAGGTTAGTGAGGCTGAGCCACTACCAGAATACTCAGATTGTAAACTCTGTGATAAACCTTTAATGCATTCACTAGAACACTATATTGATGAATGTGAAACCGTAAAGGACTTTAGACCTCCTGGCCTCTTGTACCACCAAATGTGCAACTATTTTATTGACTCAGGTGTTCTGGACGACATCCTAACAATTTACCCAAAACTTGCTTGTCCATTTTAAAGAATCAAGAACAATTTTTATTTTATATTACTTCTAAGCTGCATCACTTATGAACCCATCCCTGCCCTTGTGTGGCAGTGCACAATAGAAAGTTTTCACATATCCATACATTAAAACATTGATTGTAACCATGATATATATGTGCTTCAGCCTACAGTTTAGACCTATTGTCTTATGTATGACCCTCTGTCCTGCGTGACAGTGAATACCAGCATTATCCTCACTTTAATAAGACTATCAAAATCCTCAGATTAGGCAAAATTGTAATTAATTTTGCCAATAAAGATGTTAATAGTAATAAATGCCATCGACCTAGCCAGGCACCCTGAAAGGTAAGCATCCCAAAACAAATCCCTAATCTGGTTAAGAAATTGCTACTGCGAGCCGAAATAGTGGACAGAACTCCCCAAACAAAAACAAGCAAACGAGCATGACGTCACCACATTGCCGTGCCATCATCTGCTCAGCTCCCCCCTCTCCGGGTGGTTGAAGGAGTAGCCCCAGACCCCTCGTGCCGGCTACCCAAAACCCCAGTTCTGAGGCTGGATATCACAAACACGCAAAAAAATGCCGACCGGAGGGAGGGTTGCCGTGGAGCCTTCGAGTCTCACCCAGAAAATGGTGTTTCATTACATTCAATGCTGGTTTTCTGGGGGAAGCCCTTACGGATCCCTTGAGCTACTTACCAAAAGATGAAAACAAGTGGGATTTATCCGGGAGGCGGTCGTTGCTCGCCCCTCAACACAAAGTTGAGACAACTGGCTGCAACCGCCGACCCAAAGTGACACAAGCCCAACTAGGCCTAGGAACATTTACCAGGTAACGCACAGCCATGACCCTGTTCGAGCGCCAAAAACCCTGTGCCCAAATGTCAGCCCAAGACAAGTTACCAAAAACAGTAGCAAGCGCAGAAAACTTACGAATGTCATGGACACGGGGATAGACCGCAGGCTGGCTGGACTGAATAACCCTGCGGGCGACCTGGAAGACACGAACCTGGGAACAGGGAAGAAGGGAAACCGGATAAACCCAAAGCGCATCCCCCGGTCACACAGGCAGTGGCACGCAAATAACAGCAGAGAGCCGCAATCAGACAACACATGATGCACTCCTGGACTAGCCAACAAAGCATCAACAACCCAAAGACCCCTCCAGAAAGCAGCAGTCTCATTCTTCACCAGAAAAGAAGGAGACGGCTGCAACCAAACAAACCTATCACCAGGATCAAAAGAGCATAAACCCCTGCACCAGAGGAGAGCATGAAGCTCCCTGACCCAACCCACAGAAGCCAATGCCAACAAGAAAAGAGCCTTGGAGAAACAATCCAGAACTGAAGGGGCTACAACAAACCGAGGAGAGGAGAGATAAAAAGAGCACCCAATCCAAGGACCAGGATGGCTCAAGTGATGCATGAGCAGGCTGGAGGTGAAACAATGCAGGACACAGCTTGCAAAATGGCACAGAAGTAACATCAATACCGAAAGCAAGCTTCAGGGGTTCCGCCAGCGGCGCACGACGTGAGGCGACAGTATACAGCATAAGATGACGGTCCTGAAACAACCACGAAAGGAAGGACAAGACAACCTGAACAGAAAGCAAAGTACAGTATACCTAGGAAGTGACAAAAAGAAATGGAAGGACCGCCAAGAAACTTCATACTGCCGCCGAGACGAAGCACACACATGGGACACCATCAACGTAGCCACCTGATCACCATACAAATGGTGATAGACCCTGAGTTAAAAATACCAGATGCAAAGACTCAAGGAGATGATCAAACCAGCCACGTAATGGACCAGACCGATTATCTAAAAGAAGCGGAGCCAGGGAAAACCCCTATGTTCAGACATCGAGCAAGCAGCGCCTGAAAACAAGGCTAGGTTGGCCACCAAGGAACCAGAAGAACTACTCTTCCCTGGTAAGTCTCCAAGTGAGCTAGAACCTGGAGTAACAGCAGAACTGGTGAAGAGGTACAGGTAACCTCATCTCAACCAGTCATGCCGAAAAGCATCGATCCCGACGGCCTCACAGTCGGGGTAGGGCGCCACTTATACCGGGAGACGCCGCGACCACACTGAAGCGAAGAGGTCCATTTCTGGGAGCCCGTACATTCGATAGAGCCAACTGAATGAGCCGGCGTCGACCATCCATGCAGAGGACATGGAAATGAACGGGGCAGGCCATCCATAGACGCTGGACAACCCCCACCCCCCTGGATGTGAACGACCAGGAGAGCCAAACCCTGAGAACTTAGCAGACGAGCCACCCAAAACGTCCAGCCCAAAAAAGCCAAGAATCGCATCGAACCCACTCGGTTCAGGCAATGGACTACGGGGGAGCAGTCTGAATGGAGCCTGATTGTCAAACCCACTGAAGCGACATTAAGCGAATAAAGTGACATCGAAGCGAATAAACGATTATCCTTAGTAAAGGAAAGCAACTAACTGGACTCTGTTTAGATTCAACTAAATGTGGAGATATTTTTGTGGCTGCCTGTCAGAACACGCAGTAGGAAGGATTTGGCAGAATATTGCGCATTATAAAATCATGATTATGGTTAATTTTACAAGTTAGTAATTTTTAGTAACTACTTGTGGTTAATACAACAATGATGTATTATAATACAAAAATGATGTATAATGGTTTGATAATTTCTAACACCAAGGGCGGGGTAAATGCCGAGCAGCTAGAATCCCCACGGAAATGGTTATCCCTAACCCACCAGGGAAGGAACCCTAACACACAAGGGCAGTACTCACAGGGTGCCTAGGGAAGGCTGCCCCTAAGCGCATGCAGCCCCAGCACTGATGAACACCTGGCCAGCACACACAACAACACTGCAGAGGTCGCCACGAAGGCAAAAAACTGCCTTAGAAATCGAGGCCAGAGATGTCCACCCTAGACCACATTAGCTAACAAACTGGAGTGCTGGATAGCTGGCGCGTGTAGGTACAGCGATCCCTCCTCCCCCTATCGGGAAGGGGAGGGGAGGGCTGCGCGGACGAGCGACGCAGCAGAGGAGTGTGATATTTGCTTGTTTCCTTTAGACTGGAGGGAGTTCTACCTCTATTTTCGGTTTTTAGTTGTCATTTTCTTACCATGTGGGGTTTGTTTTGCCTACCTCGTATGCCTACCTTTCTGGGTGCCTAACCCCGGTCGATGGCAGATAAGGAAAACCTCCAACCACAGGGGGGAGGTTTTCCCAGGGCCATTGGTCCCTGCAAACTCTCTGAAGGGGCCAAGGTTCTTGTTCGTGGTCCCTGGTAGGGCTGAACGCCATAGACTAATGCCCCGGTCTAATATATTACACATTAGCCCAATAGCTCCAGGGAGCCGAAGGGGCTTCCCACAGAAAAGTACCTAAATTTCATCCTCATAGTATCCTACCTTGTGCTTCAAATTCTCACTGTATCTTGTACTACCCATTTCCCCAATATTAGTACTTAAGACATATATAACACTCAGTTATAAGTGTTATAACAATATAAATTGACAGAAGTGATATGTTGATATAAAATTTTGCTACCATTTACTTTTTCATCTTACCTGATATGTTAGGTTAAGGACCTGCCCGAAACGCTGTGTGTGTTAGCGTACAAATACCAATCTTATGTAATCTCATAAACCCATTGAACCTTCTTGAAATTGTAAATATAAATTATTATTATTATTATTATTATTATTATGTTAACGTAGCTCAGCTGACTCTGGCGTTGCCCCCATCCACTTTCACTGCAGACACAGTTGAGCAGTCCCTTCCCACTGGGGATGCCAAGCCCTCACTTTCACAACAATTACTTCACTCTGATCCTGGTCTGTTGGACCATGTGCATCTGTACCAGTTATCGGGCAAACAATGAAGATCTACTCTGGGGCCCTCATGGCTGGCCTCTGGCTGGGGCTATGGGGGAGCCCGAAGGGAGGGGGGGGGTGTCCTTGCCCTTCCCCAAACTCTTTCTTGAGTTAAACAGCCGCTTCCTGGGAATGTGTATGTACGCGCATTTGTTTTTGGCCGTGGGTAGCTGAGAGTATGATGTATTCCAGGGGCTTATATTACTAAATTTCAGTAGGAGGCTTATTTTTATAAGCATAAGCAAGTGTTTAAGTTTCAAGTCAGGATAAGGCACTTGCAAAATTATGCATGAAAACAAGGCAGTAAAAACATTGAAGAGCTGAAAACAATAAAAATAAAATTATAAATATTTCTACTTAATACTCACATTAGACTGCCATTTCCATTTGAATCTTTGGATGAGGCTTATACCCAACCAATTCAAAATCTTCAAACTTGAAGTCATTGATGGACTTAACATTTCTCTTTATCTTTAACATTGGGAAAGGTCTTGGTTCTCTTTTCAGCTGTTCTTCTAAAGCAGAGCTGTGGTTGGCATACACGTGGGCATCTCCCAGGGTGTGAACGAACTCTCCAGGCTGCGAAAACAAGTCAGGTTTTATGCACATGTTATACAGTACCTAGAAAAGCTTTCCAATTAGTTTAAGAATGAATGAATGGTAAAAGCTTTGGCATGTGTAGTAAAAGTGTTTTATCTATCGTCCCTGGCCGGAGTTATTGTTGTACCGGATGGATGCTCGCTTGACTGTTATTGTTTTGGTGACCGGTAGACTAGCTGTGACTCAAGTACATTGGTTGGGCGCATCCGATCCCATGATCGTCGTCGCCCCTAAATCAACACAACAAGTACATTGGTCGGTGTAATGTCTTAATTTCAGTTTGTTCTAGCTTTAGTTCATATGCAGTTTGCTTATTGTTATAGTGAATAGAAAGTGCTTAAACAGTATATATGTATTGTATATTATATGGCTCGATATTATTGCAAGATGTAACTGTACTGTAATTATTTGATCACTAAAGCCACAAGTCTGGCAATGTGTTTGTTTACCTTAGCAGGATACATAGGAATTTACAGCAATGTGAAAACAATATTTATTGGCTAGTACTGTAGCAAGAAAATGGGTAACTGGTCTAAAGGAAGGTGGTGACTTTAAAATTATGAATAATATAACCTTTCATCTATGAACATGTTAATAGCAAGCAATGCATCCTTCAATTTAACCATTTTCATTGTCCTCATAATCAACAACAGATGATCCACTACTGTTGTTCATGAGAACCAGGAGCTCGGTATGAGTCCTCAGCTTCCTCATATACAACAGTGTCTCAAGATGACTTGATATGCATTGTGAGTACCAAGGGTTCAAATGAAGATGCAACAAATTATCTTAGTGAAGATTCTTAACATTGAGGCAAAATTCTTACAATTTTGGAGCTTTTGCTGATGTTCAGCTCTTAGCGAGGCATATTTTTTGAGACGATACAAATTTTTGAGGATACTCTTAACTCATTTTTCTTTTATCTATGTAAGTAAAAATGGAAATGTTCGTTTGTTCAAAATCGCTAATCTCAGAAGGTTCTTCACCGATTGCCTTGAAATTTTCACACAACATTCCATTCGCATCCGAGCGGGTTTTTTATATACATACAGTACTATATAGATGTCACATCTGTGACGGGAAAAACATGCTTTTTTTGAAAAGCTGTCTTTTTCGTGTGTTTTTCAAGCGAGGGAAATTTTCAAAACCTCTTTACCGATTGCTTTGAAATCTTGACACAACATTGCATTCGAATAGGCGAGTGTTTTTATATACCTACTATATACATGCCTCACCTGTGACAGGAAAAAATATGCTTTTTTGAAAAAAAGTGCCATCTGTTGGACGTATGAGCAACACACGCAGTAATCTCCGAAAGTTCTTCACCGATTGCTTTGAAATTTTGACACTACGTTCCTTTCAAATACGTGTGTGTTTTGATATACCTACTATTTAGATGCCACCACTGTGACAGGTAAAAACATGCATTTTTTTAAAAACAGCGCCATCTGTTGCACGTAAGAGCAACATACGTTATACAAGATATGTTACGATTCAAATTCAATGTTTCTGATTGCATTGATAAGGTGAATTTTCATAGATTTTGATTTATTTTCATTTTGTTTTAATTATTTTGTGTGAATTTGCATTGAAATTTAGCTGTATTGTTTACCATACCGTTCATTTCATGGGTATAGTTAATTTGTTTCTTTTTTCATTGTTTTTCATTACGTTTTTTTAACTGTTCTTATTTTTCAGTGCAATTGGTGATGAAATTGAGCTGTGTCGATTGATCCGCATTTGAATTGAAATATTTCATTAGTATTTTTTGTTTTTGTTTCGAAAACAAGAAAATGGACAACACGTTTATTTCACAACTGCAAATGGGCAACAAACAGCTATGAATCCACCGGCTACAACAACGTTAACTGCTTTCTTCACGTTATGTCAAAATGACACGTTTGCTAAAACATTGCTGTATTTGGAAGTGCCTACATATTACACATTTTTTTATTGATATAAAAAACCAAAATACAAAACAGGCAACAAGGAAAGAACAACATAATGATACAAGAAACGTGCCAATGAATGAAACAATACTACAAAAACCATGTAACATACTTAATGTAAATACAAGGAGGCACAGGAAAGAGTACAAAATGCAAACAGCACATGACATAACACATGGCACAGGACACAAATACAACATAAAAAAGGCATAATTAATAACAACAAATAGGAACATAAAGACAACCACCCCATAACACAGAGGGGTGTTAAACATAATAATATCACGGACTCCCAAAAACCCCACAGAGAAGAGCATAACAGTACACAAAAGGCAGGTGCCATATACAAAGGAGCAATAAACACACAATATAAATAGCATAAAAAGTACAAGGAATAAAATATGCACAGAACGAAATAATGAAGCACACACATAACCCACGGAACAAACACAAGGAACAACAACAACACACACCAACATGCCCGCCACCCCAACACACGGGGCGTGAGCAAAGCATACCACACCAAAACACACCCAGCCAAGCAGAAGCTCATGCAGAAGCCAGGAAAAAAACACACCCACACCAAACGCACGACATCCACACGCTGCACCTGCAGAACATCCAACAGGCCCAACTGGACCGCAAGATCATTCAAACCCCGGATGTTTAATAACGCACATACAACAGAGGGCGCCATCGGAAGAACCTCAGGACACCCCCAATCCCAAACGACCCCCGGGGGGAACACCGGCACACCCCGTGGGAGCCGCACCTGCAACACCAGGAGAAACCACCCGCTGTACCCCAGATGACGACCTAACATTGCCGGGCGGACGAGGACACTTCTGAAGTTTCAAGGGGGGTACACCATGCGATGAATCGCACCAAACCTCCGACGCCACCATCCACTCTGCCCCCGCCTCCCCGGAACCCACGTCAGCAGCACCGCCTCCCACACCGCCAGACCCCTCGGCCGATGGAGGAACACCCACCAAACCCACACCACATGAAGCCTCGATCCCAGGGGGGCCTTGCTGCGTGACATATCCTTCAGAGCGAGCTTTCGGCGAGGGGCAGAAGAACTCAAAGATTCCACATGAGGCACATCACCAGCAACAGCAGATGGGCGCCCCACCGCACCAGCCTCAGGAACACAACGCCACGGACTCGCACGGATCTCGATCAACACCGACCACCACACAGACGAAGATGCAAGCACGACAGGTGAAGACACTCCACCAGGCACATCCACAGAGCTCTGACCATCCAGGGACGGCCCACTCCCCAGCAAGCGCGGAAAATTCTCCTCATGGAACACCGACGGGTCCTCCGTTCGAGGAGCACGGCAAACAGCAGTGAAGTGACCTTCCTCACCACACCTGAAGCAGGAGCAAGTCTGGCCCTGGTAGAATACCCACACGTAGAAGCCACACACCCCCACCCGGGAGGGAATAGTCCCAGTGAGCCTCATGCGCAACGTACGCGCACCCATACGGAGCCCCTGCAGCCGTCCACCACGTAGAAGGTTGAATCGATGTCCCGACACCACACCAAATTTGGCGAACACAGCACACAGCTCTGTTTCAGGGAAGTTTACAGGCACACTGTGGATGCTCACAAAGGTCAAGGGCCCCCACGGATTTGAGACCTCCACAGTCACAGCTGAATCGGGAATAACACGTGACTGCGCATCCCAGCGATGCACAAACTACTGGTAAATAAGTGACGTGGTGAACGTCACCGCCACACGGGTATGCGAAAGTTTCTCCAAGCCGAGGAGATCGGGGATATCCACACCAAGTACGTCCAGTAGGGCAATCTCCACAAGGGGCCAGTCAACAGGGGCAGAAAAGTCAAGCTGGATAGTGTCAACACAGTGAACACGGCCACCTCCAGCCGCCGCCATTACCACCTGCCAGGGCCCCAGCCAGCGGCCGCACCACACCTCCAAACAATGAACCACCACTCGGCAGCGACAGGCAAGCACTGGCAGGTCAAATCCAACGTCAGCGCCCTCCGGTGGCAGAGCGGCGAATCACGTATTACACATGGAATGCCAGCAGAAAATCATTTGAACGACGTAAACGAGGAGAGAGTCGACGGACAACCTGGCAAATTCAAACAAACTACGATAGGCAGACTGTACACCATTCATTCGAATCAAGATGAATACTTCTTTTTTCGCAAGCTGTTGGTAAATGTGCCCGGTCCAACGTCTTTCCAGCAATTAAGATTTGTCTGCAACGTAACACATGCCACTTTCCGTAGTGCATGTCAAGCTCTGAATTTATTGGAGAATGACCGACACTGGGATGTATGCATTAATGACACGTACAACGCATCACATCCAAATCAAATTCTTTCATTGTTTGCAATCATATTGACCACCGGCTCTCCATCTCCAACAGAGTATGGGAGAAACACAAATCGCACATGGCTGAAGATATTGTCCGTCGAATACGCAAAGAAAATTCAAATATGAACATGAATTTCACAGCAGAAATCTACACCGAAGCGATGATAATGATTGAAAATTTGTGCTTAGAAATCGCGAACAAAGTTCTCAATCAATTGGGAATGCCATCACCAAATTGATCTGCTGCTGCTTCGTTCGATGTAGAATTGCGTCATGAACAAAATTACAACACGGGTGATCTGTTGTCGTATGTGCAATCAAATATTCTTAACCCTTAAACTGTGCAACGCGCCTGCAGGCTCACGTCTGGTTTGCACAACGCGCCTCCGGGTATTTGTATTTTTAACGTTCCATTCAAAACTCCCGCGGCTACATGGGGTTCACATCAGCTTCCTCAGGGCTCTTGTAAACAGACGCAATCTTTAAAAAAAATTGTGGTCCACATTCCCGGGTGTGGGAGCCTCAGTAGTGTGTGAGCAACCAAGGCTGGCGCTCGCAGCATGAGCGCACAGCACTGCTGTTCAGCGTGTGACCACAGCATCGCCTAATAATGTCAAAATATATATATCTTGTATTATTTAGCCATGATAGTGTTATAGAAGAGCCTGAGTGTG